ATATAATATAATAAATATATACTATATATAATATATAATATATAATATAATATTATGTTATAGTAATATTATATTATATTATATCATATTAATAATACTAATATTATGTATTTTTATTAGGAAAAAGTTTATATAAGGTTGCAACCTCAAAATGTAGAAGCACCTGAAAAATCCATCGGAAAGGTTGTTTTAATGTTGAAAAACACTCTATTTGATCATCTTGACATCAAGATGCATGAATATAAAAAAAGAAAAAATGTTTTTTAGTCCCATAAATAGTGCATCTTGCAACACATTATCTAGACCGTCCACTTTCAAGATTTCATATGTTTATATATCTCCTTGATTTTAACCTTTTTGTAGTTTAAAATTTTTTAATTAGATATGAAAATAAATTTTAAGATGATCCTAGGAATTTTTCACTTCAAAATAACATGTTATGATAATTTTTGGTGGTGCGCTTTAATTGGATTGTTTAAGGTTGCAACCTTTTAGAAACCGCACCCTATATTGTGCATAGTAAATAGTGACCAACAAAAAAGTTATGAAAGATCAAGTTCCAACCCCTTTAAGACCGTAATCTTTCACTTTTTAACAAAAAAAGTTATTATGCATAGTAAATAGTGACCAACAAAAAAATTTATCGGATTTCGTAATTCACCCTAAGCCATCCAATTTGATATCTACCGAGTGAAAATGATTGTGATCTCTATGTACAAAAGATAAATAGACTCTTTGTAAAAAAAAAATCTCAAAACCTGCACTTATGAACATTTTGATACAATATAAGGTTACATCTATCTATCCCTACCAACAGGCACCTAAAGGCTAACAATGCGGTTCCTCTCGTCTGGTACAAGCAAGGGAAATCAATTCTATATGGTTAAATAGTGGGAGATTTTATGTACACAGAAAAATGGAGGGGGAGTGAATTCAAAAGACTTGAAGATATGAATAGGGCTTAGCTTTTCAAATAGTTCCAACGTTTATGCGAAGCACCTCGATGATGTTACAAGCTAGTGAGTGGCAAATACGGGGTAGAGAATTGTAGATCTTTAATAATGATAATAATAATGACGATGATGTAGACGAGCCAAACACATTGCAACATTGCATATCTATTCACTCCAATTTGAGATTCTTGGAAAAGATACTTGGGTCGATGTCTTGGAAAGACAGTGATTGCAATGAATCCTTTTGCTCAATCTTCCCTGGACTCTATGAAATAACCTCGAACAAAGATTCAACCATCATAGAACTACTTACAAAAGGATTCCTTGTTTGGGATCTCCGGTTTTGCCCACAATGCCCCGAATTTTAGACTTCTTCGAGTAACAACACCTGAAAGATTTCTGCCTGTGGCAAGGCCATGATAACGTACCCATTTGGGAACTTATCCATGACCCCTTTGGGAACTGATGCACGAGGAGCTTTTGATACGCTTTCTTGCAGTTTGAGGCCCATTGATTCAAGCATGTGTATGGCCTGAATCAGTCACAGAGCTGCTAGAACAATTTTATCTCCCCGACCCACTTAAGTCCGGCTAATTTTATGGCAAAAAAACCTTCACAGACACACAAAAAAAGCTGCTTTCTTCTAGACTAGCTTAAAACCACCATTTTCTCCTGGGTGAAACCAAAGAAAGAGAACTCGATTGCTATAGCTCTCTTTCAACGACCCTTGCAACCTAGACCAAGCAGATGGCTCTCCCTCCTCTGGGCACTATAAGACTTCATTTTGATAGCAGCTCGAAAGGAAATGCAAGGGGAGCAGGCACAGGAGCACTACTCAAAAACCATGAGGGATGGGCCCTGGTCTCATACTCACGTGTTGCCAGGGTATCAATCCCTTCACAAGAAATTCATCTATTACATGATCAACTAGCCCACTGCCAGGTGAATGATAGATATACCATAGGACATCGAATTTTGGTTCATTATCGAAAGAGATTCGAAAAATGTCATCCGGTGTCCGCTCCATGGGAATCGTGCCCGCATCTTATAAGAGATGTGGGATGGATTGAAGAATATGAATATCACCATAAACTAATGGTAAAGTGGATATCCCAGTAAAATGCGAAGTTTATAGAATTGAGCTACAAATCCTATAATTGTAAATCTCTTTTGTAGAGTTTAGTCAGAATAGTCTTTTTGTAATTGGATTGAGCATAGTATACTTGTACTCTAATTTTGATAATCCTGTAATGAAAAGTAAAGTTTAAAGAAAAAATGATGGGGCCGTATGATTCAAGTGCTCAACACTTTTGACCGATGGAGGCATGGACAGATGCATGAGTAGTGTCATATGTTCATACCGGATGGGCTGGGTGGATCGCCAACCCCATATATCAAGATCAATCTGAATCGGTGATAAGGAAAAAAAAAACGGGTGATTATGGCAGGGTCTAAGGGGGATTTAAGAAATATTAGAAAACAAATATGAATGGAGGGTTTTCGAGAGACCAGGTTGTGACTGATATTTTTCTAGAACTTGTTCAATCCCAACTGATTCTTAGCTGGATCGATGATTTCCAACCCAAATTGTTGGGTTGTGAAACATTAATTTATATTAGGAATTGTAAATCATGAGACCATTTATTTTTATTACAAGGACATCACAATTGCTAATGCCCATCAGATGGCTTGAGGTGTGACACAAAGTTCAATATTTTTTTTTTGAACTTTGAATCTAGTTAATGATACACTCACAACATCCTCATTTGAAATCTAATGGACAAAGGTAATTGTGACATATTGTATTAAAAATAAGGGTGAGATAATGTATAAGGTATCCACCTTATATTATTGAAGTAAGGTGTACTTCAAAACTACGTCGAAAATGAAGTTTCAATGTCGCACAGCTTTGCAATGACATGAAAATCTATTGTTTCCCCCAATTATGAATTTAAAGTTCTAAAAATAGTGACGATCAAGCCGATCTATAAACATTGTTGACGATCTTGAAAATGGACAGCCCAGATAATGTGTTAGAAAATAAGTTATTTTTTAAAACTAGAAATCCCTTTTTTTTTTCCATGTCTATGAATCTCGAGGTTGAGATGACCAATTTGAGGGTTTTCCAGCATAGGAACAACCTTCTTTAATGGGTGTTTTTAGGTGTACCTTGTATAGTATAAAGTCGACACCTTATATAAACTTTTTCTTAAAAATAAGTGGTCTTTTTATATACTTTTCCTTAATATTGTGCTTTTCACATATAAGAAATTAATCCACATATTGATGCTGTAAATAAAAGAAAAAAATTTATATAATGTTGCAACCTTATTGATACAGTAACATTACATTAATCTACACCACTTATTTTATATAGATATTATAGATGTGACATTATCTCAAAAAATATGACCTTTTAACTTTCTTGTACCAAATGTAAATAGTCTTATTGTATACAATCTTTTAAAAGGTTATTTTATGGTGCTCACATTATAGAGTAATTTATCATTGGGCTCAACAAATTTTGGACATTTATATACTTTTGTTTTGTATATGGAGCTCTTTTTAGGAATGTTATTTTTTGTCATTAGGAGGAGTGTGACATCATCTATATAGGCGCGTGACATCACCCACATAGAACATAAAATGTCATTAGTGTGTTCTAAATAGGTGACGTCACGCTTCATGTAAATGATGTCACACCCCTTATAAAAACAAAAAAAAATCCTTATTAAAAAATGATCCATGTACAAAACAATGGTAGATAAGTGTACAAAATTTGTTAAGTACAATTATAAATGAGATTGTATACAGAATAACCATATACCTTTGATACAAGGTGATCGTAATCGCTTACAACAATCTGATGTGAAATTTGATAGCTTGGATGTACCACAAAATTCAAAAAATTTTCTTTTGAAATTTGAGTTTGGTCAATGAAATAATTGAAGCTACCCGATTTCAAATCTAATGGTCAACATTAATATGATCATCTTGTACCAAAAGTAAATGGTCTATATTTTCCCACTATAAATTGCTCCCATTATAAATTTCTTTACATTGGGAACTCTAACATGACCCTATTTGTAAAATACATACAAATTTCTACCCACCAACCTTCAAAAAAGTTGGTGTAGAATATAGTAATCATATTCTCTACACGGTTGGCACATCATGTGAAGGAGCCGATGTAACACCAAACGGGCACGAACAATTTCCGAAAATCGTATATGCAAATCAGGAATCAGTCGATTATACACCGTCCATCAAATAAAGGTGCACCGACCTGGGCTCGTTGACTGAAACAAGACTGAGGGAAATGGGGAAGAATGAAAGAACACCGTCCATCATAAAATCCCTGCTTGGCACGTGATATGTATGCTCCTACGAGTCGCATTTACTTTCTCTGTCTTACATATATACGCCCCTCTGCTGGCCTCAGGAGCAGTCCCAAGGTGAAGCACATACATCTCTCTCTCTCTCTCTTGATCTTTCCTGCAAATCTCTAAAGAGAAGATATATTTTCACCATGGCTGCAATTTTTCAACACCGTTCTGTCTCTCTCAAGGTCGTTTGCCAGGTGAAGTCCTATATTTCTTCTTCTTCCACACCTCCATCAATCGTTGGTTTCAAGTTCTCAGATGCTTTCCAACACTTGAAATCTCGAGTATTTGGTCATTCCATCACTGCTGCAGAGGCAAAAGCAGGCCGGATCGTTGCTTCGCCCTCCAGCACCTTCACCACAAAAGCCACGGATTCCTTCTCCGACAGGCCAAGTAAAAATTTACATCTCTCTCTATTTATGATCTCTTCTATTTCTCTCTTGGCATCCTTCAATAGATGTAGTTCTTGCTTTTTGCAGGCGCTGTTCAGGAGATGCATGTTTATGAGATCAACGAGTTGGACAGAGGGAGCCCTGCTTACCTCCCTCTAAGCCAGAAACCCATAAATTCTCTCGGAGATCTCGTCCCCTTCTCAAACAAGGCAAGAAAATCAACCCCAATACCACTGTTAAATCATCATCCTCTAAGCTTTATCCCAATTATTCGGATCCGCTACTGCCGTTAACCTTCCAAAAAGGAAAAACAGTACTTCTTTCTTGATCATGTCATGTAATATACTGATTGCCATTAAATCTCTCCACTAGATTGCAGAAAGGGTTATGGCCGAGTAATATCTGTTTTTTTGTGAAAAAAATGAACAGTTGTATCATGGGAATTTGAAGAAGAGAGCAGGGATCACGGCAGGGATATGCGTGCTGATCAAACATGTGCCTGAGAAAAAGGGGGATCGCTATGAGGCCATCTTCAGTTTCTACTTTGGCGACTATGGACACATCTCCGTACAGGTAAAGTCATAGTCTCTCGGTTCACAACCGCCGATCAAGCAAATGGACGGCGATGGAGAGGGAATGAGTTACCCTCCGTCACCTAATCGCCGTCCTATTGAATGCAGGTGATGGAGAGGTGGCTTCCACTCTCTCTCTCTCTCTCCCCATCACCGTCCAGTGTTGGGAGGACGGAAAGAAAGGTCGTGTTCATGCGTGTGTGTAGTGTGGGATTGGATGCTTTTTGTGGCAGCCGATCGAAATGGTTGGGATAAGATATTGACGATGATGTGCGGTCGCGGATTGATCTGGTGGCAGGGAGAGTACTTGACATACCAGGACACTTATTTGGCGGTGACCGGCGGGTCGGGAGTGTTTACGGGAGTTTACGGAAAGGTGAAGCTTCAACAGCTGGTCTTCCCATTCAAACTCTTTTACACATTTTATCTGCAAGGGATCGGAGAGCTGCCGGCGGAGCTGCTCGGAGAACCGGTGCCGCCGAACCCTGACGTCGAACCCTCCCCCGCTGCCAAAGCCGCAGAGCCCCATGCTTGCATTCCTAACTACCATGATTGAAACCTCTCTCTCAACAAATTGCTTACTTGAGTAATTGTTTTTTTGCGCTACCACTCTCTTTTCTCTCAAAAATCTTTTCCTTTTTTTTACTTAGGATTTGTAGTTGAGATGTAGTGCTTCAGCAGTAAACTCAGACTCACCATGTCTATCCTTTAAATAAAATAATTTTAATTTTGTGACTTTGTTTGAGGTCGCCTTTTATGTAATTTGGATGATGTCGTTTTGTGGAGATTCCTCACTTCTTGCCCTCTCTCACTCACTTGGCTGATAATATATTTGAGAGGGTCGAAGTGGCCCTACTGCTTAGGCCCGGTCCGGATGACCCCAAGGAGGCCCTGACCAAGCCCTATGAGGACTCGCCCGGCCCGGTTGTGCTTATTAAAAACACATAATAAACTATAGAAGAAAAAAAAGAGAAAAAAAAACAGGCCAGGTCACTTTTGTAACCCAAACCCTAGCTTTTCCTTGGGTGGTAATGGAGCTCGACCTGAAACATATTTAAATATAGTTAAATACATGAATATTTTAATTTTTGGGTTGGGTTGGGCCCAGGCGGGTTTGGATCCATTGAATTCCGGCTCTTGATCCAGTTCCCATATCATTTATTCGGGTCCGAATCTAGCTGAGGCCCCAACCTGTTGCCGCCCCAAAGCTATTCAGCCCAGGCCGGGCCATCTGGCCTGTTACTGCCCCTAAAAATTCAATGCCTGGAGTGATGTGGTGGGGTCGGTTTCAAAGGAAGTGGTGCGTTTTGTTAATTTGGTTGCTGGGTTTGCTGTAAGGAATAAAATGTGAAAAAGAGAGGAATAAAATGTGAAAAAGAGGGACCACTTTCCCATTGATGTCTCTTCTGTTGGGCAACTCCGACTTTTTATGTGCCCAACACAGTTGATAGATCCATTCTTACACGGTGGATGCATGTCAGGGTCCGTTCTCAACGTTTGAGCGAACCTAATACGGCACCGATTAGATAAGGAAAACGTGTGAAATTTTTTTGTGTTTTAAATTTGGGAATTGGTTTGGGATCCTGCTTTTGATGGACCGCCAATCTGGCAGGGGAGGCAATCAAGTTGAATTGGGTCCAGGTCCAAGTAGAACTTAGTCTGGTCAGTTCCGAGTTGGGGTCTACCCAAACCGAACCCGTCCCGCTACTACTCCCGGACTGGGGTGAATAGCGATCATAATTTAAAAAAACAAAAAAAACAAAAAAAAAGAAAAAAAAAAAAAAGCCTCTTAGGAGTCACCCACTAAACCTCATCTCCACATAACTGGGCAATTTTGTTCTTGGTTTGGTCTAGTGGATTTTTGTGTCCAGTTTGATATGGTGATAGAGCAAGGTGGAGTGTCCAATATAATTGTGGCGACCTTTTATATGACATCGATGGGGCCCAAAACTACTGATTTGTTGCACATGGGCCAACCTTTTTCTATGTCAGCCAAAGCTCTTCATTTGATGCACATGGGGCCATCTTTTTCTGTTGCATTAAATGAGGTGCTCAAAGCTATATATATTCTTGTGAAAATTACTAAAATCATCCCCATTTGTACTTTCTAAACATTTTATCGCCATTTTAATTTTTGTTTACTTTTTTTATAAAAAACAAGCTTTTCTTATTAATACCCTTAACTGAAAAAGTTACTCTTTTTTTACCAAAATACCCATTATCGTACTATCATCTTACAACCAAATCTTTTGGTTGGACCCAATATAAAACATTATCGGATCGCGGTTATTAGTTGCCGGACAAATACTACATATCGGACTGCTTTTCACAACTACCGAAGTGCTTAATAGACAATGATACATTGGAATGCACATCTATAACACCGGACTGAACCCACTCCAGTAGTAACAATGCCGGAGTTAACCAAGTAAAAATTCGCCGGACCGTGCTCATAAATCGTCGGTCTGAACACATTCATCTAGCTCTTCACATGCCGGAGAACCCATATATCCAGAGAGCTACTCGTCGGACCAAGGCTCACAAACGTCGGACTACCTGACGATATCGCCAGTATGATGCTATCTAATTGTGGACTAACCCAGCCTGTTACAACTCTATCAGACTGTTGAGTGATTGCGCCGGAGTGATTGTGTATAACGCCGGAGCGCCTTGCAGTAGTATCGGCCTGATAATTTTCCAGGGGGCATAGTGTCGAGCCGTTGTTCTTCAACCGCCGGAATGCCATGAATCCAATGAACTATTCATCGGACTGAAGATCAAAATCGCCGGACTAATTGAATATATCGCTGGTTTACTCCTTTGGAATGTCGGATTGATTCTTTCTGCCGGAATGATTAAAGATTTTGTTGGAGTGCCTTTGTATATCGCTGGATTGCTTTAGTTAATCACCGGACAGATAATTTTCCAAGGAGCAAAACGCCGGTCTGGTGTGCTTAGAACGTCAAAGTGCCCATGAATCCAATGAGCTTTTCAACGGACTGAGGCCACAAATCGCCGAATTGCTTCACATTATCTCCGCTCTGCTCCTATATAAGTGCCGGACTGACCTATCCTCATAAACCTTTGTCCGACTTCTTCGTGATTAAGCCGGAGTGCTTATATACTTCGTCGGAGCAGAGCGGATTCAATGAATCCAGTGAGCTTTTCACCAGACCGAGCAAGTGGAGTGCCGAATTGATCTTTCATCCAGCAGTTGAGTGGCAGTTTGTTAGAATTCTAAGTGCCGGAGTTGCTTCATCATGTGCCGGAGCACGTTCTGCAAGTGCCGAAGCACTTTGTATAAGTGTCGGAGCGCGTTATACAAGTGCCGGAGCGCCCATATATGTTACAAGAAATATGAACATGTAATTTTCAATGTATTTGGCCTATGAACAAGTGCTTATGCAATGATCCAAGAAAATTGAATCCATCAACCCAATGGATTTGTCCAAGAAAATTGAATCCATCAACCCAATGGATTTGTCCAAGAAAATTGAATCCATCAACCCAATGGATTTGTCCAAGAAAATTGAATCCGTCAACCCAATGGATTTGGCCTATGAACAAGTGCTACGCAATGATCCAAGAAAATTGAATCCATCAACCCAATGGATTTGGCCTATGTATTGGCCTATGAATAAGTGCTTATGTAATGATCCAAGAAAATTGAATCCATCAACCCAATGGATTTGTCTAAGAAAATTGAATCCCTCAACCCAATGGATTTGGCCTATGAACAAGTGCTTCTGCAAAGATCTAAAAAAAATGAATCGATCAACCTAATGGATTTGGCCTGTGTTAGCCTATGAATAAGTGCTTATGCAGTGATCCAAGAAAATTGAATCCATCAACTCAATGGATTTGGCCTATGTATTGGCCTATAAATAAGTGCTTATGCAATGATCCAAAATAATTGAATCTATCAACCCAATGGATTTGGCCTATGCATTGGCCTATGAACAAGTGCTTATGCAATGATCCAAGAAAATTGAATCCATCGACCCAATGGATTTGTCCAAGAAAATTGAATCCATTTTGGCCTATGAACAAGTGCTTATGCAATGATCCAAGAAAATTGAATCCATCAACCCAATGGATTTGTCCTATGTATTGGCCTATGAACAAGTGCTTATGCAATGATCCAAGAAAATTCAATCTATCAACAATTTTAAAATATCAATCTTTACAAACTCATTCATATCAACCTTTTCAAAACAAGAACTGTATTGATAAAGTTACAAACTCGTTGGCCTATGCTTGACCAAGTTTCAAAGCAGGAACTACATTAATAAAGAACAACACATTGAGTATTTAAAAGGGTATTGATAAACAACACATTGAGTACTTTAAAGGGTATTGATAAAGAACAACACATTGAGTAATTAAAAGGGTATTGATAAAGAACACATAAACATAATGCTTTCATTAACATAATGCCAACAAAAATAATGTACATTGCATTAACTGTCTACTATGATATAGTAGCTTCAATTTACATCTGACTCAAAAAAATACCTTATTTTACTTTCTTGGCCTCAACCATCCCTTTGGCCGACTTGCAATAGCCTTGCCATTACCATTTTTGCTCTTTGTTTTCCTCTCATTTTCCTCATCAGTCTCGCTCTCTCTTTCCTTATCATTTTTGCTCTTTGTTCTCCTCTCGTCTTCCTCATCAGCTTCACTCTCTCTTGCCTCATCTCTATCATCTACCTCTTCAGTATTGCTTTCCTTATCTCCACCATCTCCCTCTTTAGTATTGCTTTCGTCATCTCCATTATCTCCATCCTTGCTCTCGTTGTCATCATCGCCACCTTCTATATCCTCGCCATCGCTTCCAACATCTCCTTGGCATTATATGTAGGAGTATTTTGCACTAACAAATCGTGGGGCTCCTGCATCAAACGTTTGGATTCCCTTGTTATTACTTCACCACGAAGTGCAGCTTGTAGTATCCCTATACAGGTTAATCGCTGTAAGTAGGCAATAAAAGTAATATAAATCGCTGCAAGAAGACAATGAATAGACAATTATTTTAAGCCAATAAAAACTAAAATAAACTAATTAAAAACATATATCAAGCTCCTCTCATCATCATGGCATGCGAGGGGGAGTAACTGTGAGGGGGGGCTCAGGGGAGTATTTTCATAACCATAAGTGAACATGTTGTACCAGGTTATATATTCCTTTGTAGGCATGTCACCATATTTATCTGCGGCTGCCTTGACAACATTGCACAGTCACTTATCTCAATAGCTAACTCATCAATCTAACTAGTGGGGTGTAGACCACCTTCTCCCTCATCTCCCACTTGGGTGGCCCAACAGGTATAACTTGCAACTTCCCAAATTACCGCAGCACACGGTCCGGCATGTAATACTCTACAATATTGAAGCTTACAAATATGATCGGCACAACGCGCTTTCTATACTGAGTTTATCCAATGGGTTGTAATCCTCATATGGTTGTCAATTCACCTATAAAAAAAGTACAAGTATATTGAGATGCCTTATAAAAAACATAATACTAACCATGTCACTTACAAGAAAAACATAACACTAACCATATCAATTGAGATGTCATTAAATGCTGATAATAGGTCGTTGCAGCGTATTGTTTCTTCTACTTGTAAGCTCTAGGCATTTCTATGGTGATAGTTTTAGGTTTGGTCCTTATAACTGGAAAATGAGTAGAAGTATTAGTTTGAAGCTAAAAAGACTGCAAATATGTAACTATTGACTAAAGA